GCTGTATTTCTGATGTTTGATGCTGAACTTCATTAACTATTGCATTCTGAAGATCCTAAAAGACAAGTCTAATAACTAATACTGTAACTATCTCCTTTCTTGCAGAATACCCTTGCTCCCTCCCTCCTCCCTCCCCCCTCTCTCTCTCTCTTTATTCTTTTTCTTACTTCATCCTCCAGTTCCAGTACAACTCCATTAACAGTAACTTGAGGTAATTCACTGAACCTCTTGACATGAAGAAATCACATGAAAACTAGGTAAAAAATAAGATAATATGCAACAATGTACCGTATAGGGGTTGTATTTCATTGGAAATACATGCATGCATCAGAAAATATAATAAAAATTTGGGTTGATTTAGGAGCCATTTTTCGGAAAAAAACATGGGCTATAGCCTTGGGTAATTTTCAAAATTTTGGCATTTTATTAAAATGGCCATAACTTGAAAAATTAAAATCGAATCACTTCAAACTTTCTACATAGCATAAGGACATCAATATGTATCAGAAAATGTAATAAAAATTTGGGTTGATTTTGCAGCCAGTTTTTTGAAAAAACCATGGGCTATTTATAGCCTTGGGTAATTTTCAAAATTTTGGCATTTTCTTAAAATGGTCGTAACTTTAAAAATTGAAGTCGGAATCAGCTCAAACTTGCTACACAGCATAAGTACATCAATATGCATCAGAAAATGTAATAAAAATTTGGGTTCATTTTGGAACCATTTTAAAAAAAGCCATAGGCTATCTTTGGGCATTTTTCAAAATTTTTTCATTTTATTAAATTGGCCATAGCTTGAAAAATTGAAGTCGGAATCACCTCAAACTTTCTACACAGCATAAGGACATCAATATGTATCAGAAAATGTAGTAAAAACTTGGGTTGATTCTGGAGCCGTTTTTGGAAAAAACCATGGGCTATAGTACAGGGTACATTTTTCAGAATTATTTATTCAAATGGCCATAACTTAAAAATACATAACATTAATATAAAACTTACTTTGGAATAGAAATAGAATCTTCCAATTACTGTCTTTCCACCAACAACTCAATCACTTTATGCTCAAGCTATCAATAATTAATTAACTAATAATTAATAACTATTAATAATTACCTTAGCTTTATCTGCTTCAAGTGTAGCATTTAATAAGTTCAAATCTCCTTTCTCCTCCTTTCTCCTCTTCGATTTCGTGCATTTTTGTTTCCAGTTGTTTCCACAGTTTGCTTTCTATTGTCATTTGCTTGTTGTAACTTGATGTCACTGATTCCATTGAATATTGAACGCAGTGTCTCAATACTTTTAGAATAACTTGATACTAATTTATCATTCTATAAAAATAAAGAATATTCATGTACACATGTACATCAAAATATTTTAGGAGGTGAATTGAAAGCACTCAGTTCACAAACTCATACAGTAATTCACAATAGAGCTTTTGCATGATGTACTCTCTCCTACCTTTCTCTAACCTGAAATTTCAACTGCAGAATTTATCCAGATTTTTTCCCCATTCTCTCCATTCCTCCATGTACATTCTTGCCACATAACATGGCAGACAATTTAGCTCAAATTTAGCTACACCCTCCCATTGATTACATCAGTGGAAGAACTCTATGAGACATAGATCTAATTAAATATGATAATAATAATAATAATAATAAGCCACACCCACTACATGAACGTTGGCTTACCAGATTTCGATAAAAGCTGAGAAGAGAGAGAGAACAAAATTATCTCCTTGACTCGTGTGAATTATGTCAGCGTAATCTTCTTTGGTCACTTCCTGGAATAAACTCTCTGGTACTTCTTCTCTTCCTTTCTCTGTTGCTTGTTCTTACTGAAGTGTTCCCTGCTAGTGAAGGACCTTCAAAGGAAGAAGAGAAAGGTCAATTAATGGTTACTTTCTGCCGCCATCTTTGAAGGGGGTTGGTAAAACCGGGCTCGGGAGGGGCTCGGGCACGGGAAATTGCGGGGTAAAACCGGGCTGCCCCGGATTGGGGCTTCAACTATTTTCATGGAATACTGAACTGAGGACTGACATGGAGCTAGTAAGGACATAGAACAAACTACTGAGTAACTGTGCAATTAAATAATTATTATTCTTTTCAGTATTGTTAAAATATAGGGAAGCCATGAATCCCCCTGACTAATGCTGGGAACAAGGCTCTACTCCCATCTGTCTTCTAAGTCCACTTTAACTCTATCATTTTTATTTCTGATTTTATTTGCTGTCATTGTTATCTTAATTCCCATTTTCCTTGATTGTTGATTTATTTTTATTTATTTATATTTATTAATATTATTTTTACTGATGATCATTATCTATTTATCATATTTTAATCTATTTCATTCATTTCCCCTTTTCTTTTTGTTTTCTGGGAGCTAGCAGTTCTTGCTGGGATGTCTGTGCTATTATCAAACTTACTCAATTTGGTTTATTGTAATTAATTTATATTACCTTTGAGATGCATTTCAATGTCGGATAAGAAGAATGAAATGTGGAAAGTTCTTATGTC